CCCTTAGCCCTTTTTTGTTCGCCTTGGTGATGGACGTCCTAACTCAAGGTGTTCAAGACGGGGTCCCATGGTGCATGCTTTTCGCGGATGATATTGTGCTTATCGACGACACGCGTGAGGGACTAAACGATAAGTTGGAATTATGGCGCCTTGCCCTTGAGACTAAAGGATTCAGAATAAGTAGGAACAAGACTGAATACATGGAATGTCGTTTCAGCGGCCGGGATACAGAATCAGAGGTGGAAGTCAGGATTGATTCTCACCTAGTACCTAAGGTAGACAGGTTTCGATATCTTGGCTCGGTAATTCAGGCGAATGGGGAGTTAGATGCGGATGTTGGACATCAGGTTGGTGCGGCTTGGGCCAAATGGCGGTTAGCTTCAGGGGTGTTGTGTGATCCGAAGATTTCGCCTAGAATGAAAGGTAAGTTCTATCGATCCGTAGTCAGACCTGCTATGTTATATGGGGCAAAGTGTTGGGCAGTTAAGAAGACTCATGTGCGTCGTCTGCATGCGGCGGAGATGCGGATGTTACGATGGATGTGTGGGAAGACAAGGTTGGATAGGATTTCGAACGAAGTTATCCGACGTCAGGTAGGTATGGCACCGGTGGAAGACAAGTTGCGGGAAGCGAGGTTGAGATGGCTTGGCCATGTGAGATGGCGGGATGCTGACGCCCCTGTACGGAGATGCAAGAGGATTACGGTTATCGGGGGAAGTAGGGGAAGGGGTAGACCTAAGAAGAATTGGGAGGAGGTGATTAGGCAGGATTTAGGACTTCTCAACTTGACTGAGGATATGGCCCTAGATAGGAACCTTTGGAGAACTAGGATTAGAGTAGCTGGATAGGAGCTCGGTGTTGTAGAGGTTGTGTTGTATTTGTTTGGAATCTTCTGCTATTGTTTGTACTTGTTGCTTGTACTTGGTGTCTTATCTGTGCTATATTGTGTTCTCTTCCATATTTTTGTGCAGGTGGAGCCGGGGGTCTCTTGGAAACAGCCTCCCTACTTCCGAGTAGGGGCAAGGTCTGCGTACACACACCCTCCCCAGACCCTACTGTTGTGGGATTCAACTGGGTTGTTGTTGTTGTTGTTGACTTGCTTGGTTTGGTTATTGTATACAGCACATTATTTCTGACTCATTTCTTTCTAAAAATCAATGTAATGCACGACGAACCAGCAGCCGCCTTATGGACTTGCTTCCTGGCAGTTTTGAACCACATCCCCAGCTTTCTGGGCCCCAATCCACCTACTCCCCCTACCCATTCTAAGCCCAAGTCCTCTAACCCGAACCCCTTCGGTCAACCACTTTATCCATAATCCATATACCCAACCCAGCTCATTTACACAATCCCCCAGTTTACCTAATCCAACCCAGTCCCTACCAAAACGTGTACCAGCGCTCCCCCCCCCAACCCAACGGCCCTCGTCCACACCCTTGACACTATGAGCCTATGTGACCCCTCTTGGTTCATGGACACCGGAGCTTCGCATTACTTCCTCCGTCCCCCTAAGATGTTCTCATTTTAACTTTTGGTGGTTTTTAAGGAGAGTTGAAAAAAAGTGAAAGTCTACCATAATACCCTTAATGAAAAATGGGTGGAGTGTATTAAATGAGGTGGGTGAGGTGTAATAAATAAAGTAAGTGGGGGTAGTTGTGGTATTTTAATTGTTAAAAAATGAAATGAGAAGATCTATTGTGGACAAAGAAAAAGGGCTATTGGAAAGATCTATGGGGGACGGAAGGAGTACATTACTTCTGACAGGTACTTTATTTCATATTTTTAATCATGGTATATTTTTCACCTAGTCACCTCCACATATCACTATTGGAAATGGATCTAAGGTTAGCAGCCTCTTTTTATGTGACTACTCCATTCAATTATACTGTGAAAACTCTCATAGAAAACAAATTTCTAATCTAAACTAGGGGTAGTGTCTATTACTGATAAAGTAACTAAAGTAAGAGAAGCAGACTTGTGGTTCAGTTACATCTAGCCATAAAGACAATGGTACGTGCAAGGAGAGTCAAGAGTTTTTTCCTTGAGAGGGAGAGGGCAGCAGGAGAGGCACGTCACACAAGAGGGTGGTATGCGCGGTTGAGATTGAATTTGGTGGTCTTAAATATCTCCGAGGACATGACTTATTTTTCACAGTTCTTCGCGACATTGTTTAAAGATTGTAGTGTCATTCTACAAGTTGCGTTCACACTATCCCTTTCACTACTTACCTACTCTACATTTTGACTATTTGTTGGGTCCTCACGGAAACAATCTCTTTACTCCTTGGGGTATAATTAAGTCTTGCGTACATATTTCTCAATGGTCGTACTCTTGAGTGGGAAATAGCCAATTTGTTTGGTTTGGTTATTTTATACAGCATATTATTTCTGACTAATTCCCTCGAAAAATCTATGTAATTACATTAAATCACTTAAAAAACATATCCTCTTTCATACACTGATTGGCCAAACATCTTTTTTTGCAAAATACTCTGTATAGTTGTATACACTCCTTGAACTAAGCACATTATTTCATCCAATTATATTATACGGAGTATTGATTTTTCCGACAAAAATATCATGAAAATTTAGAGAAATACTACAGAATAGTTTTCAACCATAACTACATTTGTTCATCAAGATGAAGAGATTTTTGACTGCAAACAAAATACAAAAAGGAAAGGAACTCACCAATAATGCCCAACCTGAAATACAAACCTTCATTTTATACTCCGTATTAAATAATGAAAATGGAAAATATTTACCTAACGACATACTCCATCAGTCTCACAACAAACTTCATACTTTCTTTTTTTTTGGACATTCCAAGGAACTTTGTGCTTACCTTTTTTTTAAGAATTCAATATGCTGCTCCTAAAACATCTATCTTCTAAACAAATTACTTTTCACTCATTTAACCTAGTAAATCACAACCAGGAAAGAAAGTGGCCATTAATTTGTAAACATTCAATTATGCGTACAAGGTGTTGGGTATTTCGATAGGTCATATGTGAAAATATAAATGAAACTAGAAGAGAGCAGAGAGATGGATTTATACCTTGCCAAGCAGAATCTCGTTGGTGTGTGGGCCATACATGTCGGCGGTGTCGAGGAAGGTGACGCCGGAGTTGACGGCGTGGTGGATGAGGCCGATCATGTCGGGTTCGGGCTTGGGTGGGCCGTAGAAGGCGGACATTGACATGCAGCCCAGGCCCTGTGCCGACACTTCCAGGCCCTGCGAGCCCAGCTTGATTCTCGGGACCTTCACGCCGCCTTGTCCTTCTGCCGCCGCAGCCATGGATTCTCAGAGCAAGAAACAACGTTTGACTCTCTGAAGTCTCAACTTATCCTTTTACCTTTCTTAGCACTACTAAACATATTTCTTCATCACACACATTTACCTTTCAAATATTTTAAATTCAATTCGCGATTCGTACTCGAATATAATGATTCGAATTCACATTATTCAAATACAAATTTAAATTCAAATATTATTTTTGATTCGAATATTAAACAAATACAAATACATATAAGGGATGTATTCGATTCGGATGATATTCGAATATTCGAATATATGTATATATACACAGACCATGTTTCCAAAATCAAAAGTCAAGCAAAGTAATATAGTATAAAGTGTATTTAAAGTACTAAGAATTCAATAAATTAACGTAACACGAAAATCTAAAGCATATGATTTTTAGTAGTTATATTTTATAAAATATAATTTGTGTAAGATGCAAATGTATTAATGTTTTTAGATAAGGAATATAATATAGTATAAGGAGTATCGTAAGTCAAATGTATTAATGTTTTTAAATTACTTTGTTCGGAAATTATTTCTCATTTTTCATTTTAGAGTAAATTCCATAAAAGGTCCCCAGTTATAGGTCGTTTTACTTATTTAGTCCCTACATATCAAATATTACTAATTTAGTCCCCAATTATTATATTCATTTTCACGAATGGTCCTTTGTTAACATTTCCGTTAAGAACGTGGATAAAATTGTATATTCATACTTCTCTCTCTCCTCAATTAAGCTTCCTCCTTCCTCTCGTACTCTTTCCCAAACTCGTCGCTAAGTTTGAAGCTCCAAACCCAAAATCATTCCTCTCTCAATTATTAGTCTTCCTGGTGGAACCTAAAATCAAAACCAATAAGCTTTATGGATGAGTTTTATCGGTTAGTCTCAAAAAATTGCAAAGAATTAAAGATTAAAACTCATCCATGAAGGTTATGGGTTTCGAATTTGGGTTCCGCCCGTTAGACAAACAATTGAGAGAAGAGTGGTGATTTTAGTTTTGGGTTTAAAGCTTCAAACTCAGCGACGGGTTTGGGAAAGGAGTGCGAGGGGAGGGAGGAAGCTTAATTGAGGAGAGAAAAGAGTGTGAACTTACAATTTTATCCACGTTCTTAACGGAAATGTTAACAAAGGACCGTTCGTGGAAATGAATATAATAATTGGGGACTAATTTAGTAATATTTGATATGTAGGGACTAAATATGTAAAACGACCTATAACTGGGGACCTTTTATAGAATTTACTCTTCATTTTAGGTTGTCTACTTTTTTTTCTCATTTCCTTATTTTGTAAATTATTTTATACGGGGTATGAAATATCAAATTTATCCTTGTCATTAGTTTTCCATCCCACCCACTAGTGGTATCACGATTCACGGGTCAGGAAGAGATGAGTTTTTAGTCCTCTCTGGCTCGGCCCCGCAGTGGCAGATGTAGTATGTAGGAGTCAACTAAATTTTTCTAATAAGGTAAAAATAAATTTTTTTTAAAAAAAAACTTTATGTATATGGGCTCTCAACAAAAATTAATGTGACCCCGTTTAATTAGATTAATTTCAAATTTTTGTTTTTTTTAGTAAAATATATTTTATTGCAAATAGTTACTAATTTTTTATGAAAACAATTCACATTGCCTATTAAAAATGTTTTACATTCAATAAATGTTTAAAATAAAATTCAATACTTTTTGGTCATTTCATAAAGCCTTTTTAAAAAATCTATATGAATGGTTACTACATTATATTGCAGAGCATATTATATTATATAAATCATATACCAACAGGGCCTAAAAATGCAATTTAGAGATTCCATATTGATAAAAGCAATTAGTTATCCCCCTACCTACCACTTTATGCTTGGAGTTGAGTACATAGATTACCATAACTGCTGTGTTTTTTTAAAATAAACTCCAACTTCAGCAAGACTGTTACCTTTTACGGAGTACTTTGTAATAATGATAATGTGATCCACCCATGCACAATGCCTCTTTTCATTCAAGATCAAAACATGAGAAATAAAACTAACATGTATTTAAACATGAAACATCACTTCACTACTAGTAGTAGTACATCTTATTCATTGTTTCACTTTATTCTTGGTACATCTATGGCTTCACAACAACCCATTGTGTGTCCCAATGAGACACGCCTCTATATCGGATTATACGTAGGTTTCCATGCTGACAAAGCCGGAGTATCAGAATCTTCCCAAGTTGAAACACCAGGGGACTGCCTCCCACCTTTCACTGCAGAAGCAATGGACTCGAGTTCAATCATGTCTTCTTGTGACAGAGAGACAGACAAAGCCCCAATGTTTTGGTCAAGGTTTTCGATCTTAGTGGTGCCGGGAATGGGACAGACATCACTCCCCTGGTGGTGCAGCCAGGCTAATGCCAGTTGTGATGGGGTGCATCCCTTCTTTACTGCCATTTCGTTGATTCTCTCGTACAAGTTGTTGTTGTGCTCTGCATTCTCTGCTTTGAACCTTGGGTTATCCTGTAAATTTTGTACATTTAAAACACTCTCTGAAGTAAATAGCCAAGTCATGTGCCACAATATGCGTTCGGTTTACGCAAAAGATCCCCCCCCCCCAGGTTGATCAAAAATTGTGGAATACCATCGCTATATTTGGCAAAATGAGTTGAGGTGACTGGGAAAAGGAAGTGTGCCTACAATCTAAAAGCTATATATGAGAGTGTTTGGTAAAAGTATCTATTAAGGTAGTCCAGATTTTACAAAATAACATTGAAGGAGGGCAAGCCATGTCATTTAGACTAATTCAAGAAGGTATAATGAGAATATATAAAAGATGAAAAGGTTGCTGAAACATCTTTTCTCACTCAAAGTAACTCGTTACATTTCAGTTTTGAAATTTACTTTACCAAGCACACCTCTACTTTCAAATGAGGTGAGAGTTTCAGCAAAATAAGTTAGTGCTATCTAATTTAATTAGTGAAGTGTAGTAAACCTTTCTCCGATCTCCTTCAGAAAAATTTTCGACCAGTTTGCGACCTGAGGATAAAAACCCTCGTCCCAAGGGGCTATATGCAACGATTCCAATCCCTAGTTCCCTGTGCCATTTGCAAGGAAATTAAGAGTTAGTACAACTTACAACACTAATGCAGCTATTTTGGGACTATCATGACATGAATCTTGGGAGATAGTATAGAGGGTAGTGAACCTGCAAGTAGGAATTATTTCCTTCTCCGAATCTCTGGTCCACAACGACCACTCCAACTGAACTGCTGTTATTGGATGGACAGCATGCGCTCTTCGGATTGTCGAGGCCGAGGCCTCGGACAGACCCACATATTTTATTTTCCCTTCTTCAACTAGCTTTTTGAGCTCTCCCATCTTGCAGAAACATAAGCAAATTGTCAAGGAATCAACTCAACCAAAAGCTCAAACTTGTGGTTATAGGCCTAAGAAAAGTTCTTTATACTCTAACAAGCCCCCTCACGTGCAGGCATAGTCGCTTTGAACTCGTACCTCTTGGTCAAAAAGGCTTTGATACGATATCAAAGAACCAACTCAACTAAACACTCAAGTTCGTGGTTGTAGGTGTAAAAAAAAGTTTTTATACCAAAACACAAATTAAAATCTTATAGAGTAAGTTCACACTAAAGGCATTGATAATATGAGATCAAGAAAAAGAGCATATTAAAAGGAGCCAAATCAACACTGCTCCTAAAAGGCTAATTAGAGAGTTGACAATTTCATACAGTGACTTCAATGGGGAGCCAGGTGTCAATGCGGTGCTGGTAGTAGAGGTCAATGCAGTCGATGCCAAGCCGCTTCAAGCTCGCCTCACATGCAGCTCGTACATAGGAAGGATCCCCACATATCTCATGCTTCCCATCAACAAGCCTTATCCCAAACTTTGTTGCCAGCTCTACCTTGTCTCTCACCCCACCTCCCAAAGCCTATCAAAACACAAAATACCCAGAGATTCCATCCATAAGGTTTCCAAGATACAATTTCAAGGGAAATGTATAATAACCTTGTTTGGCATGGCGATTATATTATTTGTTATGTGATTACGGAGCTGTATAGTTTAAAAGATCTTTGGATTGGTGTTTGACAAGTAAAGACTTGCTAAATCTTAAAATCAGTTAATGTTTAGGCAATTAAGCGTTTACTAATTACTACGGTGTAGAAAAACCTCAATCACCAATCGCATAAATCCTCAAATTTGGTCGTTATGTGCTCGTTTGGAAACAACTTCAGTATTTGCGTTTTGAAAAGGTCATCTAGCTTTAGCATTTTCAAAAAAAAAACATAGTTAACCACTAATTGCCAAACAAACCAATAATAACTTTATTAACCCCAATCCCAAACACGCTCAAACTGGATCAAACATGGAAAACAAATCCAATTATCTATCTTCTCAATTGGTACTAACAATTACTGTCTCTACTAAGTAAAATTTGCACTAAATAATATTAAAACATATGTCTATTCGTAATGTATTACTTAAATTTTTTTATTCCCTAAATAAAACTTGAATAATGTCTAGTGTAATGTGTAGTGGAGAAAACAATGTCCAATAATGTTGGATATTTAGTTTGAAAAATGTCCAATGACGGTGAATATTTACTAGTGGACATTGAACACTGATACTGCATTGAGAAATAAAAACATATAATATTACATTGGAAAAGTCACTATATTTTAGTGTTATTTAGGTAAATTCTCCCTCTACTAATTAGCATCAAATACTCCCTCCGTCCCATAAAACCTTTCCTGTTTCAAAAATGGCACGCTTTTAAAATGAGTAATTTTAGTGTTATTTTTTAATTATGACTAATCTATTCTACACATCTCATCCTACACTTATAAAAGTAAGGGCAAAATTAGAAAAATAACACCAAACTTACCCATTTTAAGAGTCCTCCTTTTTTCAAATAAGAAGAGTTTTATGGGACTTAGGGAATGAAAAATAGGTAAAAACGGAAGATCGATAAACAGGGGAAGATTAAAAACGAGACCTTTCCAAGGAGAATTTCATTGGTGTGGGGGCCGTAAATGTCGGAGGTGTCGAGGAAGGTGACGCCGGAGTCGACTGCGCGGCGGATGAGGTGAATCATGTCGGGTTC